GAGGAAGAAAGTGTGCATACGTTTCGGTTGTGGAATCAGTCTGAGAACGTGAAGACTCAAGTCGGGGACTGCATGAAGAGTTGTGGAGCAGTCCTGAAACGTTTGGGTGGGCAGCCCGTGAGCGCCCTGTTGAGCATCAGTGAATGAGCGCCCTCAAGTCAGAAATTCTGTGGTAAGTCCATTTTAACCAGTTACTAGTGATTGCCTGTAGTTGATCGTGTGCCCAGCGATCGTGGCAAGTGTTTGTGGATACATTAGGCATATTTTATTAAGGCAGTGAGTTTGAATAAGAGAGTAAAGATAGAGGAACAGCATGGAGAGAGGAGTGGTGCATCCTCCCTTGACGGAGGTCAGTGGGCGACTGAGGCTGGCTGCCTCTCAGGCCCAGGGCTCCCAACGAATGCAAAGCATGGAATCGTCCAAACGTGGGGGAGTCCCCCCTTGCGACGTGCGGGAGTCAGAGAGATGTCAGGTGAAGACATTTATTGTGTGTGCATATATTTTAGTTATATGTTAGTAGGGAAACATTTTTATTGGCGAGTAGATGGGTTGCAGGTTTGTGTGGAAAAGGAGATGATGGGAGAACTTTGAAGCCAGGGAAGACAGTTAGTGGATGGAACTCCAAGGCTGTAGAAGGAGTACTGAACTCTGTGGAAGACCAGACCCCCATAGTGAGGAGTTGGACCTCAAGCTGTGTGAAGCAACAGGAAGTGGAGTTGCACGTGTCTGTGGAATCAGTGGTAGAGCTTCATGGTGTACTAGTCCAGGAGAGCTGCAGAAGACTCTTGTAGACAGTTCTGGGAAAACCCAGAGTTGTACAGGGTAGTGAGCCTATAGATGCAGAGCGAAGGTTCATGGTGGTTATATATAGAGTGCTTGAATGTCATTGGCATGTAAGACGCAGTGGAAAGTGGGTGATTGACCATTTTTTTTGTGTTGAGGAATTTCTATGCCGATGTTTCTAGTCTTACAGCCAAAGGCTGAGTTACATATACATATTGGGGCTGATTATGTAATAGCATTACGACAAGATTTAACCCTCTTGGTAGGAGGAGTAATAAGTGGCAAGCCAGGAGTTGGGCAACCAGTTGATAGTGATGGCTGGTAAAGCCAGGATGGTATTGGATTGCAACCAGGTTATAGTAGCTTAAAGTGTCTAGGTTAATATACATATTTATTTTATGTGGTGTACTGTACATGTTCTTTGTTATTAAATTATATAAATATTAATTATATTAAATTATATAAATATTAATTATATTAAATTATATAAATATTAATTATATTAAATTATATAAATATTAATTATATTAAATTATATAAATATTAATTATATTAAATTATATAAATATTAATTATATTAAATTATATAAATATAAATTATATAAATATTTACCAGTCCCCGTGGTGCAGTGGTAAGACACTCGCCTGGTGTTCCGCGAGCGCTTTGTCATTGGGTTCGTATCCTGGCCGGGGAGGATTTACTGGGCGCAAATCCTTAACTGTAGCCTCTGTTTAACTCAACAGTAAAATGGGTACTTGGTTGTAAAAACGATTCTTCACGGCGGGGATCGTATTCCAGGGACCTGCCCGAAACGCTACGCGTACTAGTGGCTGTACAAGAATGTAACAACTCTTGTATATATCTCAAAAAAATGTGTATAGTTCACAGGTGTTTGCCCTTGTCCTGGTGAGGCTTCCCAGAAAGCAGAAATGAGAGAGAGAGAGAGAGAGAGAGAGAGAGAGAGAGAGAGAGAGAGAGAGAGAGAGAGAGAGAGAGAGAGAGAGAGACAGAGAGAGAGAGAGAGAGAGAGAGAGAGAGAGAGAGAGAGAGAGAGAGAGAGAGAGAGAGAGAGAGAGAGAGAGAGAGAGAGAATTACAGCTGTGGGCAGGGTCATAGAAAATATTAATTTACTAAAAGGGGGATTGAGGAAATCATTCCAAACAAGTAGAGAGTAGAAAGTCACGGCGGCTCAAGTAGGGTGTGTGTACAGGACAACGAGGCCAGTGTTGGAGCCGCACCCTCTAGACATGTGGCACTGAACCCCTCTCCAAGATCAAAAGGCGTACAAGGTGATCTCCTGAGAAAACTACAAGCACTCTAGAGTTCATTGTTGGTCGACCGGCTGTAGCTGGAGTGTGGCTGCCGAGGTCGGTTGTCTGTTCCGGCTGAGAGTGGTCGGGGGATGATGTCTGCCAGTACTTGAGGAACAGTCTGGTGCAGTAGCCAGAGAGCTTTGGAGGTTTAAGTTCCATTAGCTCCATCTCCCCTTCAGGAAGTCCGGACAGAACCTTATGCATGTATGTATGTACTCACCTAATTGTACTCATCTAATTGTGCTTGCGGGGGTTGAGCTCTTGCTCTTTGGTCCCGCCTCTCTAATAGGCGGCGGAGGCGGGGGAGGTCCCGCCTCCCGCCTCTGGGACCTAAATGGTCCCTGCCACTAGGAATCTGGTGGCACACAGCTGGCAGCCAACGCCTGGGTTAGGGAGCGCGTCTCCAGTTAGCCAAGACGTTGGCTTCATCCCCATCCTTCTCCAAAGGCTTTCACTGGCCATTTCTAAAGTCTCCAGCAAGATGTAGTACTGCATCCAGCAGTACAGAATTTGCAGTACTCATGTATACGTTTATTATATAGTGATGAGTGTTGAGCAGTCCGCGTGGCTATACCGTATGTGTATAAGACAGTGCTGGAGTTAGCCACATAAATTTCCAGATAACTATCACTGAACCAATCCCTTGCAACCATAGGGGGCCTCGTAGCCTGGTGGATAGTGCATGTTGACTTACACACAGAGCTTGCAACGAGATGCTATCACACCAGTGGCCGAGACCATAACACACCAGTGGTCGAGACAATAACACACCAGTGGTCGAGACAATAACACACCAGTGGCCGAGACCATAACACACCAGTGGCCGAGACCATAACACACCAGTGGTCGAGACAATAACACACCAGTGGTTGAGACAATAACACACCAGTGGTTGAGACAATAACACACCAGTGGTTGAGACAATAACACACCAGTGGTTGAGACAATAACACACCAGTGGTCGAGACAATAACACACCAGTGGCCCAGACAATAACACACCAGTGGCCCAGACAATAACACACCAGTGGTCGAGACAATAACACACCAGTGGCCCAGACAATAACACACCAGTGGTCGAGACAATAACACACCAGTGGCCCAGACAATAACACACCAGTGGCCCAGACAATAACACACCAGTGACCCAGACAATAACACACCAGTGGCCCAGACAATAACACACCAGTGGCCCAGACAATAACACACCAGTGGCCCAGACAATAACACACCAGTGGTTGAGACAATAACACACCAGTGGCCCAGACAATAACACACCAGTGACCCAGACAATAACACACCAGTGGCCCAGACAATAACACACCAGTGGCCCAGACAATAACACACCAGTGGCCCAGACAATAACACACCAGTGGCCCAGACAATAACACACCAGTGGCCCAGACAATAACACACCAGTGGCCCAGACAATAACACACCAGTGGCCCAGACAATAACACACCAGTGGCCCAGACAATAACACACCAGTGGCCCAGACAATAACACACCAGTGGCCCAGACAATAACACACCAGTGACCCAGACAATAACACACCAGTGGCCCAGACAATAACACACCAGTGGCCCAGACAATAACACACGAGTGACCCAGACAATAACACACCAGTGGTCGAGACAATAACACACCAGTGGCCCAGACAATAACACACCAGTGGCCCAGACAATAACACACCAGTGACCCAGACAATAACACACCAGTGGTCGAGACAATAACACACCAGTGGCCCAGACAATAACACACCAGTGGCCCAGACAATAACACACCAGTGGCCCAGACAATAACACACCAGTGGCCCAGACAATAACACACCAGTGGCCCAGACAATAACACACCAGTGGTCGAGACAATAACACACCAGTGACCCAGACAATAACACACCAGTGGTCGAGACAATAACACACCAGTGGCCCAGACAATAACACACCAGTGGCCCAGACAATAACACACCAGTGGCCCAGACAATAACACACCAGTGGCCCAGACAATAACACACCAGTGGCCCAGACAATAACACACCAGTGGTCGAGACAATAACACACCAGTGGCCCAGACAATAACACACCAGTGGCCCAGACAATAACACACCAGTGACCAGTGGCCCAGACAATAACAATAACACACCAGTGGTCGAGACACCAGTAGACAATAACACACCAGTGGCCCAGACAATAACACACCAGTGGCCCAGACAATAACACACCAGTGGCCCAGACAATAACACACCAGTGGTCGAGACAATAACACACCAGTGGCCCAGACAATAACACACCAGTGGCCCAGACAATAACACACCAGTGGCCGAGACAATAACACACCAGTGACCCAGACAATAACACACCAGTGGCCCAGACAATAACACACCAGTGGCCCAGACAATAACACACCAGTGGCCCAGACAATAACACACCAGTGGCCCAGACAATAACACACCAGTGGCCCAGACAATAACACACCAGTGGCCCAGACAATAACACACCAGTGGCCCAGACAATAACACACCAGTGGCCCAGACAATAACACACCAGTGGCCCAGACAATAACACACCAGTGGCCCAGACAATAACACTCCAGTGGCCCAGACAATAACACACCAGTGGCCCAGACAATAACACACCAGTGGCCCAGACAATAACACACCAGTGGCCCAGGCAATAACACAGGTGGTAATCTCTTCCACAATAATATCGTAGTCTTGAGGTCTCGGTCGTCGTATCTTAGAAGGTATCACAGAACGCTACGGATTCTTCCATCACATTAACATGATGGAAGACTGTGAAGCAGCTCTTCACCTGAGAGAGTGTGTCAAGAATCATTGGGTGAGTTAGGGAGTTGTATGACAAGTTATATATGGGAGTAGTATTGGGGTCTGATTGAAAACGCATGTAACTTAAATCCAATTTAGTAAAGTAACACTATAAAACTTTGTTAATTAAATTAAAAAAAAGAGTCTCACGGCCACATTGCTAAACAAAGACACAGCCAGCAGGACTTAGTAAAGCAGGGCTCCTGTGTCTAGTGAGAACTTGGTTCTCTGCCATTTACAAGGCCAACAGTGTTTGAAATGCCAGTATCTCTAAATGCACGAAAGGGCAATTGAATATATAGCCAGTTCTAACGCTATACATGTAATGTATGGATCTTATATCTAAGTCTTTACCTGTCTGTCCAATTCTCATTTTTTGGTGGTACATGAAGGATTTTGAAAGTGACCTTTATGTTATCTTTATTTTGAAGGTGACCTTTATGTTATCTTTATTTTGAAGGTGACCTTTATGTTATCTTTATTTTGAAGGTGACCTTTATGTTATCTTTATTTTGAAGGTGACCTTTATGTTATCTTTATTTTGAAGGTGGCCTTTATGTTATCTTTATTTTGAAGGTGACCTTTATGTTATCTTTATTTTGAAGGTGACCTTTATGTTATCTTTATTTTGAAGGTGGCCTTTATGTTATCTTTATTTAGTGTGTGAATTTTGCCAGACGTTTGGTATAATGAAGTAGCGAGATGTATTCATGGTCTTGTCTTCTTTGTCTATGGTGTCAAATGTTGTTTTGGCTTACGGCCTTTTCTGTAAAGGTTTTTGTATAGTGAAGCATAGAGGTAATTGCATAGATCGTTATCATTTCCCTATCAACAGATCTGAGACTTCAGCTGATTTCTTCAAGCTGATCTTTCTTATCTGATCTTTTCCAACAGATCTCTTCCAGTTGATCTCTTCTAGCTGATCACTCCCAGTTGATCACTCACATTCTGATATCCCAGCTGATAACTCTGAGCTTCCCACCTGTTTGGCCGCATGTATACCCCATGTATACCTGTCTTGGCCCCATGTATACCTGTCTTGGCCCCATGTATACCTGTCTTGGCACCATGTATACCTGTCTTGGCACCATGAATACCTGTCTTGGCACCATGTATACCTGTCTTGGCACCATGTATACCTGTCTTGGCACCATGTATACCTGTCTTGGCACCATGTATACCTGTCTTGGCCCCATGTATACCTGTCTTGGCCCCATGTATACCTGTCTTGGCACCATGTATTAAAATATCAACGTCCACGGTAGCCTAATGTAAAGTAATATTGCATTCTAAGATGTATAACCTACTATTGTAATGTGTGTATTTGTATTAACTATAACTGATGGCCGTCTCTGTATATACCAGCAACAACCGTAACAGTCAACATCTTGGGTCAAAGCTTGAAGTGACAGCTTGAGATGACAGTTTGTTGTAACAGCTTGAGATGACAACCTGAAATGACAGTTGCAAGTAATAACGTTTCGAGGTGACAGCCGGGGCTGACAACACTCATTTAGGCAACAAAACCTCACAAACACACACACACACACACACACACACACACACACACACACACACACACACACACACACACACACACACACACACACACACACACACACACACACAAAATATGCAGAACACAAAAATGTATTCGTCCAGAGGGACTGGACATGGAAGGAGAGAGTCATGACGACAGAATCAAGGAAGAAGCACAGGGTGAGAGGAGAAAGCCAGAAAATCATAGCCCCTCAACACAACATTCCCAGACGTGAGGGGGGAACCCACAACCAGCATGCCAGCAACACCAGAGGGGAGGGCAACACTAACACCCTCCTCTGCATAGAAACCCCCCCCCCCCAACTCTCACCTTCCCTGCCCCCACTCAAATGCCCAGTCAACCCTCCCTTCCTCCTCACCCTGTATCCACCCTGTCACCCCTCCCCCATTCCCACCATGTCCCCCCTCCCTCCTTACCCCATACCCTCCCTGTCCTCTCTTCCCTTGACCCCCCCCCCCCACCCCTCACCCCAGACTCTTCTGAGACCCTGTTAAACACCTCACAAATCTTCACACCTAGGGAACAGCTTCCTCTATCAACAGAACGCTCACCAAGAAGGCGACAAGAAAATGAACAGAAGAAAGTGAGCTTCAAGGCAATGTACACTAACATAGATGGGATTACAAATAAAACAAGTGAATTTGGAGAATGGGCACTAGAAGAAAACCCAGACATAATAGCACAACATAAGAACGGCCTTTAGAAACTTGTGTAAGGAATCATTCAGGACTTTGTATACCACATATGTCAGACAAATCCTGGAGTATGCGGCTCCAACATGGATTCCATATCTAATCAAGCATAAGACTAAACTGGAAAAGGTTCAAAGGTTTGCCACCAGACTAGTACCCAAACTGAGAGGTATGAGCTACGAGGAGAGACTACGGGAATTAAGCAGACGAGGAGTCACAATAATGGTCCATCGTGGACTTGAGAATGGTCCAGGATGGACCGAAGCGTCGTCGTCCCTTCACTTTGTAGTGTGTGGTTTGGTCAACATAATACGAGAATTAAACCTCACGTTACTGGAAGACAGAAGAATTAGGGGGGACCTGATCATCACATACAAGATTCTCAAAGGAATTGATAGGGTAGATAAAAACCAGCTAATTAACACAAGGGGCATACGCACTAAGGGACACAGGTGGAAACTGATTGCCCAATTGAGACACAGAGATATTAGAAAGAACCATTTTAGTGGCAGAGAAGTAGACAAATGGAATGCATTAGGCAGTGATGTGGTGGAGGCAGACTCCTTACACAATTTCAAGTGTAGATATGATAGAGCCCAATAGGCTCAGGAACCTGTACATCAGTTGATTGACAGTTGAGAGGCGGGACCAAAGAACCAGAGCTCAACCCCCGCAAGCACAACTAGGTAAGTACAACTAGGTGAGTGCACACACACACACACACACACACACACACACACACACACACACACACACACACACACACACACACACACACACACACACACACACACACACACATATACACACACACACACACACACACACACACACACACACACACACACACACACACACACACACACACACACACACACACACACACACACACACACACACACACACACACACACACAAGAGTATGAGCTACGAGAAGAGACGACGGGAATTAAACCTCACGTGAATGGGAGAAAGAAGAGTTAGGGGGGACATGATCACCACATACAAGATTCTCAGAGGAATTGATAGGGTAGATAAAGACAGACTATTTAACACAAGGGGCACATGCACTAGGGGACGCAGGTGGAAATTGAGTACCCAAATGAGCCATAGAGACATTAGAATTTTTTTTTAGTGTCAGAGTAGTAAACAAATGAAATGCATTAGGAAGTGATATGGTGGAGGCTGACTCCATACACAGTTTCAAGTGTAGATATGATCGAGCCCAATAGGCTCAGGAACCTGTCCACCAGTTGATTGACAGTTGAGAGGCAGAACCAAAGAGCCAGAGCTCAACCCCTGCAAATACAACTAGGTATGTTCAACTAGGTAAGTACACACATACTGATTGTGCAAAAAAACTAGTGAAACATCTGGAGTGAAAGAACTTTGTAACACAACATCAACATGGGTTCAGGGATGGCAAGTCATGCCTCACAGGATTAATTGAATCCTATGAGCAGACAACACAAATCATGCAAGATAGGGAGAGCTGGGCAGACTGCATATTTTTGGATTGCCTGAAAGCCTTTGACACAGTACCTCATAAGAGACTAGTGCACAAGCTAGAGATGCAGGCGGGAGTGAAAGGGAAGTTACTCCACTGGATAAAGGGGATCCTAAGCAACAGAAGAGGTTCCAAGGGTTGTTATAGCCGGTGGGGGGGGGGGGAAGAGTTGTAGAGATAAGCTCCCACAGCCTGTAAAGTGCCCCTGATAGCGTGCGTCTCAAATAGCCTCTGACAACCAAGTCCAGCTCCTGGCCTGCACGTGTGGCTTAGCCTCTAGGCCTGGCGGAACTGCTTCTACCAACAGAAGCAGTTCCAACAGAAGGGGCGAAGGCGGGTCTCTGGCGCCCTAAAACCAGTTGCTTCGGGCAGATGGGACTCGTTAGCCTGGAAAGGCAGCTCATCTAGGGGAAGGAAAACCCCGAATTCAAACCTCTGCTGTCTTGTGGCTAAACCCACTCATGGGAAAGACTTCGGGAGTCAACCCCGAGGAAAAATCCAGAGTCGGAGTCCCTAAGGCAGTTTGCAGCTGTTTACAGCTACATTCTGGCAACTCCTGCGACGACACTGGTGCCAAGCGTATCAGCGCCCGCCCTTCCCTTGGATCACATCGGTAGCTTGGAGAGGGTGGATCTGCTTCATGGGCAACAGCTGATCCTCCATAATTACTGCCCAGGCCTGTGCCCTGGAGAGGACACTCCAGCATCGCCTTGGCGATGGCTTAACATGGGAAGTGACAGTTACTGGTGATAAGCCTAGCACTCAATTGGCGTAGAGTAAGGCGCCAGGGGTTGCTTCCGATGTTGGGAGAAATCACCCGATTTCATAGGACAGCCACCGCCCACCTCAAGTTGGGCAGCCCCCAGCCAATAAGGTGCTGTCCCGCCATGGTCCGCCTGCTCCACTGGGTGCGTGGGGCTAAGGCCACAATCCAATAAGTGGATCGTCAACCATGCACCAATCAAAAGAAAACAAACACAGAGCCACCCAGCTCTCAAACTAGGCACATGGAATGTAAGGACCATGACACCGGGTCTCTCGGCAGATCTACTGGAAGTGAACGATGCCCGCAAGACAGCTGTGATCAACAATGAACTACGCAGCCTCCAGATGTACATAGTCGCCCTGCAGGAGACACCTCTGCCCGAGACCGGCAGCATACGGGAGAAGGACTTTACCTTCTTCTGGCAGGGCAAACCTCCAGAAGAGGTAAGGGAGCATAGCATTGGCTTTGCCATTAGGAACAGGTTGTTAGGGTCCATAGCACCGCCCACGGAGGGGTCTGCGAGGATCATCAAACTTCAGCTTCATACAGCAGCAGGAATGGTCAGCCTCATCAATGCCTACGCACCAACACTGACCTCCTCTACCGAAGCGAAGGACGAGTTCTATGATGACCTCGGCCCAACTCTCAGAGACATACCTCAACAAGAGCCAGTCTTCCTCCTGGGAGACTTTAATGCAAGAGTTGGTTCTGATCACAGTTCTTGGCCTTCCTGCCTGGGCCAGTTTAGATTTGGGTAGATGAATGAGAGTGGAGTTCTGCTGCCGTCATTATCTCTGCATCACCAATTCCTTCTTCGACACCAAGCCCCAGCATAAGGTTTCCTGGAGACACCCCAGGTCTAAGCATTGGCACTAACTCGACCTGGTGCTTACGGGGCGTAGCAATCTGAGAAACGTCAAACTGACGTGCAGCTTCCAGAGCGCAGATTGTGACACCGACCATTCTCTCGTCATTTGCAAAATAAAGTTCCAGCCCCGAAAACTCCACAAAGCAAAGAAGGAGGGAAGACCACGCATTAACGTAAACAAGACCCGTGACCTTCACAAGGTGGAGGAATTCACTGCGGTGCTGGTAAATGCCCTTTCTGTACCACCCTGCGATAGCGCAAGTGAGAGGTGGTCACATCTCAGGGGCACTATTTTCAACACTGCCATGTCCACTTTCGGTAAGAGGCAGAATAAGTCAGCAGATTGGTTCGAGGCCAGTGCAGAGGAACTGTTACCCCTCGTAGAGGAAAAGAGATGAGCTCTCTCATCCTACAAGAACCTGCCCTCAGAAAGGAACCTACAGGCCCTCCTGCAGTAGAGTTCAACAAACTGCGAGGCGCTGTGCTAACGATTACTGTCTCCGATTCGGTTTCAACATCCAGACTGTGGCCACTGTCGGCAACATAAGAGGCATGTACGAAGGGATCAAACAGGCAACAGGCCCTACACAAAACAGGACGGCTCCTCTGAAGTCAGCCACTGGAGAGATCATTAAAGATCGTGATCAACAGATGAATCGCTGGGTGGAACATTACACCGAACTCTACTCCAGAGAGAACTTGGTCAGCATAGAAGCCTTGGATGCAATCGAGTGCCTGCCCATCATGGAAGAACTTGACCTTGAACCGATTGTGGAAGAAGTTGAGAAAGCAGTAGATTCACTTTCCTCAGAGAAGGCCCCAGGAGATGACGGGATTCCACCTGAAGTTCTCAAGTGCGCTTGTGGAACACTTAAAACCGAGCTTCATGAACTTCTGTGCCAGTGCTGGAGGGAGGGCTCGGGTGCCACAAGACATGAGAGATGCAAACATCATCACTCTCTACAAAAATAAAGGTGACAGAAGCGATGTCAACAACTATCGCGGCATCTCCCTCCTCAGTGTCGTCGGCAAACTCTTCACCAAGGTCGTCTTGGTCAGGCTTCAGATTTTTGCTGAAAGAGTGTACCCCGAGTCACAGTGTGGCTTCCGAGCAGAGAGGTCGACCACTGACATGGTGTTCTCCCTGAGACAGCTTCAAGAAAAGTATAGGGAGCAGAGAAAAGCCTTGTACATTGCCTTCATTGACCTTACAAAGGCTTTTGACCTCGTGAGCAGGGACGGACTCTTCAAGATCTTGGCCAAAATGGGCTGTCCACCCATCCTACTCAGTATGATACAATCGTTCCACAAGGACACGAAGGGAACAGTCGTGTACAACGGCTCAACTTCTGAACCATTCAACATCAACAGTGGCGTTAAACAGGGGTGTGTTCTTGCTCCAACCCTGTTCGGCATCTTCTTCGCAATCCTCGTTAAGCATGCCTTTGAAACAACCACAGAGGGCATCAATCTCCATTCAAGATCTGATGAAAAGCTCTATAATTTATACAGACTCCGAGCAAAGACAAAAGAACAGATGCGAATCCTCAGGGAGCTCCTCTTCGCTGACGACGCAGCGATCACCACACACACAGCAGAAGGCCTGCAGCAGATATTCAACCGCTTTGCCGCAGCCTGTTCCGCATTCGGCCTGACAATCAGCCTGAAGAAGACACAGGTGATGGTACAAGATGTCAATGAGCTACCCTGTATAAATATAGCAGACTATGTGCTGGAGGCGGTCCACGAGTGTGTGTACCTGGGCTCCACAGTCTCAGACACCCTTTCCCTGGACACTGAGCTCAACAGGCGTATCGGGAAGGCCGCAACTACACTGGCCAGGCTCACAAAGCGCGTTTGGGAAAATACCAAACTGACAGTGCACACCAAGGCGCAAGTCTACGTGGCATGTGTGGTGAGTACACTTCTCTACGGCACGGAATCCTGAACCCTGCGCTCTCGCCAAGAGAGACAGCGCAGTACCTTTCACATGCGGAACCTGAGATGCATCCTTGACATCACGTGGAAACACCACATCAACAACAACACAGTACTCGAGAGAACAGGAGTCCCTTCAATGTTCACACTCCTGAAACAGAGATACATGCGATGGCTGGGACACGTCACACGCATGGAAGATGGCCACATACCAAAGGACCTCTTGTATAGATAACTGGCAACAGGAAGGAGACCCACCGGAAGACCTCAGCTGCGTTTCAAAGATGCCTGCAAACGTGACCTCAAGCAGATGAACATCGACATATACACTTGGGAGGCAGCAGCTGCGGACAGATCTGCCTGGAGATGCAAAGTGCAGAAGGGACTCCAGCAATTCGAGGATGACCTGAAGAGGCAGGCGGAGGATAATAGACTTCAGAGGAGGTCTCGACCACTGTCAGACGCACGGCGGCGTTTAGCTGCGATCGCTGTGGTCGGGACTGTCATTCTCGAGTTGGCCTTCACAGCCACAGCAGGCGCTGCATCCAACTAGACTACAACAACTAGACACCCAGGGCACAACTCCATAACCCCACGGGATTGACGGATGCCTACTAAAAAAGCAACAGAAGACAGTGAGTCACTGTGAGGGGTGAGGTCTCAGATTGGCGAGGCGTCACAAGTTGAGTCCCGCAGGAATCAGTCCTTGGACCCATACTGTTTCTGATATATGTAAATGATCTCCCAAAGGAAACAGAATCGTTCCTTTCATTGTTTGCCGATGATCAGTCCTACTCAGTCCTTGGAGTTGATATCACACCAAACCTGTCTCCAAAAGCCCACATAAAAAGAATAACATCTGCGGCGTATGAAAGGCTGGCTAACATCAGAACTGCCTTCAGGAACCTGTGTAAGGAATCATACAGTCTTGTATACCACATATGTAAGACCATTCCTGGAGTATGCGGCCCCAGCATAGAGCCCGTACCTTGTTAAGCATAAGAAGAAGCTGGAAAAAGTTCAGAGGTATGCCACTAGGCTAGTCTCAGAACTATGAGGCATGAGTTACGAGGAAAGGCTACGAGAAATGCACCTCACGACTCTGGAAGACAGATGAGTAAGGGGAGACATGATCACTACCTACAAAATTCTCAGATGAATTGACAAGGTAGATAAGGGTAAACTGTTTAACACGGGTGGTACGCCAACAAGGGAACACAGGTGGAAACTGAGTACCCAAATGAGCCACAGGGACGTTAGAAAGAACTTTTTCAGTGTCAGAGAAGTTAACAGGAGGAATACATAAGGCAGTGATGAGGTGGACGCAGACTCTATATAACTTCAAATGTAGTTATGATAGAGCCCAGTAGGCTTAGGAATCTGTACACCAGTTGATTGACAGTTGTGAGGCGGAATCAAGGAGCCAGAGCTCAACCCCACAAGCACAACTAGGTGAGTACAACTGGGTGAGTACATACACGCACCACATCAAGAGGATATGATCAGCAGCATATGCAAGACTGGCCAACATAAGAGCTGCCTTCCCTAACACTCATGTCAAAACTGTGCCTCTAGAGTGTGTTGGATATTATCAGAATCATAACTCCATCCTCCCAAGGCTTGGAGAGAGAGATGGAGATAGAGATTGACAGACACAGATAAAGAAAGAAAGTAATATTCGTTAGATAGAGCAACATTTCCACTGTCTTCTTACCTTAGAATGTTCCATCGCCACACTTCTCTACCGGTGGGTCAAGCGGAATGAAACCCGGGTACAGGAATATTTCTGGCATCTGCAGAGAGACAGAGAAGAGGAGGTCAAGAGCAGCTGCAGGAAGACACTCGTCCTGTATTGCTCTGCTGTATGTGTACCAGGAGAAGTATTACTCTGCTGCATGTGTACCTGGAGAAGTATTACTCTGCTGTATGTGTACCTGGAGAAGTATTACTCTGCTGTATGTGTACCAGGAGAAGTATTCTACATGAGCTGGTAAATTAGCCTAGCACCTTGTAAACACTAATCATGACTTAGATAGAATGCACTACTTGAGCTAGCATGCAAGGCTCGATTTGCCTAGCAAGACAAGTTTTCTTAAAATTATATATTTTCCAATTAGTTTTTCTACCAGCCCACCGAAGCCGAAGAGCACTTCCTTACCCCGGGTAGTATGCCTTCCCTCGAGACACACAAGGGAACTTGGAGGTCGTTAATGATCTTGTCCTGCAGCGTCGTCGCCAGGAGGTTGTCGTCCCACGTCTTCCTGTCGTTGAGGATCTTGTGCAGCGTCTCGTTATGGTACTCTGAGGAAGCAACAATCTCCCGGTTACAGCAAAGAAAAGCTTTTTGGGTAAAATTATTACACATAGACCTATTAGGAGAAATTTGTCTTCCACAATCTTGAATATGAAAGTATTATTATCAAGAAGACCAGATAAGGCATTATATTGATTGATTGACTTTTGTATATATTTTATGGTGCCCGGAACCACAATGTTATTGATATCATTGTAACACAAATTGTAACTTTGGGGTTTGATTTTAAATCTTGGTTCGATTCTACAACAGGAAAAGACGAACCGGAAGGGATAGGGCTTTGTGACCCATCAGAGATTATTTCCCAGCTTAGTGGTACACTCAACTGTACACTCTCAAGGTACACTCAACTGTACACTCTCAAGGTACACTCAACTGTCTTCCGGGTCGTTGGAGTCTATAGTAATCCCACTATGGACAGGAGCATTATAATTGTGAAGGGCCATGATTAGGTGCCTGTTTGAGAGGCCATGGGAAGGTACTCACTCTCAGGGGCCATGGGGAGGTACTCACTCTCAGGGGCCATGGGAAGGTACTCACTCTCAGGGGCCATGGGAAGGTACTCACTCTCAGGGGCCATGGGGAGGTACTCACTCTCAGGGGCCATGGTGAGGTACTCACTCTCAGGGGCCATGGGAAGGTACTCACTCTCAGGGGCCATGGGAAGGTACTCACTCTCAGGGGCCATGGGAAGGTACTCACTCTCAGGGGCCATGGGGAGGTACTCACTCTCAGGGGCCATGGGGAGGTACTCACTCTCAGGGGCCATGGGAAGGTACTCACTCTCAGGGGCCATGGGGAGGTACTCACTCTCAGGGACCATGGGAAGGTACTCACTCTCAGGGGCTTGGGGAAGGTACTCACTCTCAGGGGCCATGGGGAGGTACTCACTCTCAGGGGCCATTAGGAGGTACTCACTCTCAGGGACCATGGGAAGGTACTCACTCTCAGGGGCCATGGGGAGGTACTCACTCTCAGGGACCATGGGAAGGTACTCACTCTCAGGAGCCATGGGAAGGTACTCACTCTCAGGGACCATGGGGAGGTACTCACTCTCAGGGGCCATGGGAAGGTACTCACTCTCAGGGGCCATGGGGAGGTACTCACTCTCAGGGGCCATGGGGAGGTACTCACTCTCAGGGGCCATGGGAAGGTACTCACTCTCAGGAACCATGGAAAGGTACTCACCCTCAGGGGCCATGGGAAGGTACTCACTCTCAGGGACCATGGGAAGGTACTCACTCTCAGGGGCTTGGGGAAGGTACTCACTCTCAGGGGCCATGGGGAGGTACTCACTCTCAGGGGCCATGGGGAGGTACTCACTCTCAGGGACCATGGGAAGGTACTCACTCTCAGGGGCCATGGGAAGGTACTCACTCTGAGGGACCATGGGAAGGTACTCACTCTCAGGGGCCATGGGAAGGTACTCACTCTCAGGGGCCATGGGGAGGTACTCACTCTCAGGGGCCATGGGAAGGTACTCACTCTCAGGGGCCATGGGGAGGTACTCTCAGGGACCATGGGAAGGTACTCACTCTCAGGGACCATGGGAAGGTACTCACTCTCAGGGGCCATGGGAAGGTACTCACTCTGAGGGACCATGGGAAGGTACTCACTCTCAGGGGCCATGGGAAGGTACTCACTCTCAGGGGCCATGGGGAGGTACTCACTCTCAGGGGCCATGGGAAGGTACTCACTCTGAGGGACCATGGGAAGGTACTCACTCTCAGGAGCCATGGGAAGGAACTCACTCTCAGGGGCCATGGGGAGGTACTCACTCTCAGGGACCATGGGAAGGTACTCACTCTCAGGGGCTTGGGGAAGGTACTCACTCTCAGGGGCCATGGGGAGGTACTCACTCTCAGGGGCCATTCGGAGGTACTCACTCTCAGGGACCATGGGAAGGTACTCACTCTCAGGGGCCATGGGGAGGTACTCACTCTCAGGGACCATGGGAAGGTACTCACTCTCAGGAGCCATGGGAAGGTACTCACTCTCAGGGACCATGGGGAGGTACTCACTCTCAGGGGCCATGGGAAGGTACTCACTCTCAGGGGCCATGGGGAGGTACTCACTCTCAGGGGCCATGGGGAGGTACTCACTCTCAGGGGCCATGGGAAGGTACTCACTCTCAGGAACCATGGTAAGGTACTCACCCTCAGGGGCCATGGGAAGGTACTCACTCTCAGGGACCATGGGAAGGTACTCACTCTCAGGGGCTTGGGGAAGGTACTCACTCTCAGGGGCCATGGGGAGGTACTCACTCTCAGGGGCCATGGGGAGGTACTCACTCTCAGGGACCATGGGAAGGTACTCACTCTCAGGGGCTTGGGGAAGGTACTCACTCTCAGGGGCCATAGGGAGGTACTCACTCTCAGGGGCCGTGGGGAGGTACTCACTCTCAGAGACCATGGGAAGGTACTCACTCTCAGGAGCCATGGGAAGGTACTCACTCTCAGGGGCCATGGGGAGGTACTCACTCAGGGGCCATGGGGAGGTACTCACTCTCAGGGACCATGGGGAGGTACTCACTCTCAGGGACCATGGGGAGGTACTCACTCTCAGGAGCCATGGGAAGGTACTCACTCTCAGGGACCATGGGGAGGTACTCACTCTCAGGGACCATGGGGAGGTACTCACTCTCAGGGACCATGGGGAGGTACTCACTCTCAGGAGCCATGGGAAGGTACTCACTCTCAGGGGCCATGGGGAGGTACTCACTCAGGGGCCATGGGGAGGTACTCACTCTCAGGGACCATGGGGAGGTACTCACTCTCAGGGACCATGGGGAGGTACTCACTCTCAGGAGCCATGGGAAGGTACTCACTCTCAGGGGCCATGGGAAGGTACTCACTCTCAGGGGCCATGGGGAGGTACTCACTCTCAGGGACCATGGGGAGGTACTCACTCTCAGGGGCCATGGGAAGGTACTCACTCTCAGGGACCATGGGGAGGTACTCACTCTCAGGGGCCATGGGAAGGTACTCACTCTCAGGGACCATGGGGAGGTACTCACTCTCAGGAGCCATGGGAAGGTACTCACTCTCAGGGGCCATGGGGAGGTACTCACTCAGGGGCCATGGGGAGGTACTCACTCTCAGGGGCCATGGGGAGGTACTCACTCTCAGGGGCCATGGGAAGGTACTCACTCTCAGGGACCATGGGGAGGTACTCACTCTCAGGGGCCATGGGAAGGTACTCACTCTCAGGGGCCATGGGGAGGTACTCACTCAGGGGCCATGGGGAGGTACTCACTCTCAGGAGCCATGGGGAGGTACTCACTCAGGGGCCATATGGAGGTACTCACTCTCAGGGGCCATGGGGAGGTACTCACTCTCAGGGGCCATGGTGAGGTACTCACTCTCAGGGGCCATGGGAAGGTACTCACTCTCAGGGACCAAGGGGAGGTACTCACTCTCAGGAGCCATGGGAAGGTACTCACTCTCAGGGACCATAGGGAGGTACTCACTCTCAGGAGCCATGGGGAGGTACTCACTCAGGGGCCATGGGGAGGTACTCACTCTCAGGAGCCATGGGGAGGTACTCACTCTCAGGAGCCATGGTGAGGTACTCACTCTCAGGGGCCATGGTGAGGTACTCACTCTCAGGGGCCATGGGAAGGTACTCACTCTCAGGAGCCATGGTGAGGTACTCACTCTCAGGGGCCATGGGAAGGTACTCACTCTCAGGGGCCATGGGGAGGTACTCACTCTCAGGGGCCATGGGGAGGTACTCTCTCTCTCAGGAGCCATGGGAAGGTACTCACTCTCAGGGGCCATGGGGAGGTACTCACTCTCAGGGGCCATGGGGAGGTACTCACTCTCAGGGGCCATGGGGAGGTACTCACTCTCAGGGGCCATGGGGAGGTACTCTCTCTCAGGAGCCATGGGAAGGTACTCACTCTCAGGGGCCATGGGGAGGTACTCACTCTCAGGGGCCATGGGGAGGTACTCTCTCTCAGGAGCCATGGGAAGGTACTCACTCTCAGGGGCCATGGGAAGGTACTCACACTCAGGGACCATGGTGAGGTACTCACTCTCAGGAGCCATGGGGAGGTACTCACTCTCAGGGGCCATGGTGAGGTACTCACTCTCAGGGGCCATGGTGAGGTACTCACTCTCAGGAGCCATGGTGAGGTACTCACTCTCAGGGGCCATGGGAAGGTACTCACTCTCAGGAGCCATGGTGAGGTACTCACTCTCAGGGGCCATGGGAAGGTACTCACTCTCAGGGGCCATGGGGAGGTACTCACTCTCAGGGGCCATGGGGAGGTACTCTCTCTCAGGGGCCATGGGGAGGTACTCACTCTCAGGGGCCATGGAAAGGTACTCACTCTCAGGGGCCATGGGGAGGTACTCACTCTCAGGAGCCATGGGAAGGTACTCACTCTCAGGAGCCATGGTGAGGTACTCACTCTCAGGGACCATGGGGAGGTACTCACTCTCAGGGACCATGGGGAGGTACTCACTCTCAGGGGCCATGGGAAGGTACTCACTCTCAGGAGCCATGGGAAGGTACTCACTCTCAGGGGCCATGGGGAGGTACTCACTCTCAGGAGCCATGGGGAGGTACTCACTCTCAGGAGCCATGGTGAGGTACTCACTCTCAGGGACCATGGGGAGGTACTCACTCTCAGGAGCCATGGGAAGGTACTCACTCTCAGGGGCCATGGGGAGGTACTCACTCTCAGGAGCCATGGGGAGGTACTCACTCTCAGGAGCCATGGTGAGGTACTCACTCTCTGGGACCATGGGGAGGTACTCACTCTCAGGGGCCATGGGGAGGTACTCACTCTCAGGAGCCATGGGAAGGTACTCACTCTCAGGGGCCATGTGGAGGTACTCACTCTCAGGAGCCATGGTGAGGTACTCACTCTCAGGGGCCATGGGGAGGTACTCACTCTCAGGAGCCATGGTGAGGTACTCACTCTCAGGGGCCATGGGAAGGTACTCACTCTCAGGGGCCATGGGGAGGTACTCACTCTCAG